TCCGACCGTCGGGGGTGTGGCTGCTCTTGGCAGTGACGTCCTTGAGGACAGGCAGTCTGAGCTCGCTTTCCTTTCTGAGGCCGCTCCCCATCTCTGTTCCATGCTCCTAGTCCCTGAGGGTGACCCAGATGCCCTCGACATCCCGACCCCTTGCACCTACGCTGAGGCCACCTCGGGACCCTGGGCCTCTCCCTGGATAGCTGCCATGGAGCAGGAGATGGCATCTTGGAGATCCACCGGTACCTTCGTCAGTGCGGTTCCCTCACCTGGGGTGAACGTAGTCGATGGCCGCTGGCTCTTCAAGGTGAAGCGCCCTCCTGGAGAGCCGCCTGTCTTCAAGGCGCGCTACGTTTCTCGAGGCTTCAGTCAGCGTGAGGTGGTGGACTTCTTTCAGACCTTTGTCCCGACCCCAAAGACGACCACTCTTCGAGCGTTGCTAGACGTAGCAGCACAGCGTGACTACGAGCTGCACTCCCTCGACTTCTCCACAGCTTTCCTCTAGGCAGTCTACACCAGCAGGTCTACCTTTGCCGTCCCCAGGGCTTCTCCGGTGCCTTCCCCTCTGGCACCGAGTGGATCCTCCGGCGCTTCGTCTACGGCTTGCGACAGGCGCTCCGTGAGTGGCACGACACTCTGCGTGCTACACTTGTTGACTTGCAGTTCTTCCCTTCGTCTGCAGACCCCTCGCTCTTCGTCCGTTCCGGCCAGACTCCGTTCTACGTCCTTCTCTACGTAGACAATCGGGTTTTTACTACTACAGATAGAGACACACTGGCCGCCGTGAAGGCGAAGCTGCTGAAGAGACACACCTACACTGACGTGGGAGAGCTGCGCCGCTACCTTGGCTTCTAGATCTCCAGGGACAGAGCAGCGTGCACCATCACTCTTACACAGTTACACTTGGTGCGCCAGGTCCTTCAGAGGTTCGGCCTTCAGTTCTCTTCCGCATAGCCCACCCCTCTGTCAGTAGACCATAGATTCTCTGCTCGAGTTCCTGAGGATGTCGTAGAGCGTAGTGGTCCCTACGCAGAGCTAGTGGGTTGCCTCATGTACCTGGTGACTTGCACTCGTCCAGATCTCACATACCCTCTCAGCATCCTTGCTCGCTTTGTGGCCCCAGGCAAACACCGACCACAGCACTGGTCGGCAGCTAAGAGGGTTTTGCGTTATCTAGCAAGTACATCGGGAATGGGGCTAGTGCTAGGAGGACGGAGACCAGTGGTCCGTACCGGGCACACAGACCTTCTTGGGAAGACGACGCCAAGACTCCCAGGTCCTCACAGGGCTACTCCTTTAACCTTGGTGCAGGTGCCATCTCGTGGAGGTCCACCCATTCCTCGTCTGTTGCCCAGTCTAGCTGTGAGGCTGAGATCTATGCAAGTGCCATGGCGGCACAGGAGCTCCGCTGGCTGACCCTCTTGCTCACCGACTTGGGTGAGCGGCCTAGCTCTGCCCCGCCTCTGTACGCTAACAACAGGGCCATGATCCTCTTGTGTCAGGAGCCACGACTTGAGCCGTCCTAGCCGGCCCTCTGAGCCGTCGCGCATGTCCTAGCCGGCCCCCAATAGCCGTCGCTCCTGTCCTAGCCGGCCCCCTGAGCCGTCGCGCCCGTCCTAGCCGGCCCCTCGTGCCGTTGCGCCTGTTCCTAGCTGGCCCCCTGAGCCGTCGCGCCCGCCCTAGCCGGCCCTCTGACCGGTCGCGCCCGTTATAGCCCCCCCCTCCCCCCCCCCCCCCCCCCCTCCCCTTAGCCGTCGCGCCCGTCCTAGCCGGCCCCCTGAGCCGTCGCGCCCGTCCTAGCCGGCCCCCGTAGCCATCGCGCCCGTCCTAGTGCCCCCCCCCCCCCCCCCGTAGCCGTCGCGCCCATCCTAGCTGGCCCCTCGCACCGTCACGCCCGTTCCTAGCCGGCCCCCTGAGCCGTCACGCCCGCCCTAGCCGCCCCCCCCTCCCCCCCTCCTGAGTCGTTGCGCCCGTCCTAGCCGGCCCCTCGCGCCGTCGCGCCCGTCCTAGCACGCCCTCGCGCCCGTTCCTTACCCGCCCTCGCGCCCGTTCTAGCCGCCCCCTCGCGCCCGTCCCCCCGGCCCCTCGCGCCCATTCCTAGCCGTCCCGCACGCCCGTTCTTGCCGGCCCCTCTCGCCCGTTGCTAGCCGGCCTCTCGAGCCCGTTCCAGCCGGCCCCTCGCGCCCGTTCCTAGCCGGCCCTCACGCCCGTCCCTCACCGGCCTTCGCGCCCGGTCCAGCTGGCCCCCTTGCGCCCATTCCTAGTCGGCCCCCACGCCCGTCCTTTCTCGTCAGTCGGCCCGCCGCTGACCCCAGCGTCCATTGTGTAACTGCGCGCCATACCGCACCGCACTGTACCGCCCCTCTCCACTCAGTACCGCTCTGCACCGCACCTCACCCCTCGGTACCGCTCTGCACTGCACAGCACCGCATTGCACCGCACAGCACCGCACAGCACCGCATTGCACCGCAGTGCACCGCATTGCACCGCACAGTACAGCACTGCACAGCATAGTACCGCACTGCATCGCACTGCACCGCTCTGCACCGCACTGCACCACTCTGCACCGCTCCGCACTTCGCTGCACCGCTGCTGCATTGATCCTGATGGCGGACTCCATGCTCGACTTCGATGCAGAGGGTCAGCCGCTCGAGTTTGACACATGGTTGGTCGACCTCCGCCGTCATCTCACTCTTCAGCAGCAGGATGGCCACTCCTTGGCGGTCCAACTTGACGGTACGCTTCCCTGTCCTGACCCTGCTGCCCTGCCCGCTGTCTCCTTCTACCGCCGCTTCCCTCACCGAGGTCCCCCGGTTACTCCCCCCCTGTTCCTGGTCACTCCGTCCCCGGTGGTCCCTGCCCCTCCCCCTCCCCCTCCCCGCCCTGCCCCCTCTGGTGTCTCCCACGTCACCCCCCTCCCGTCGGTTGTCCCGGTTGAGGAGTCTGCTGACTTTGGTGGTCCTGCGGCGCATTCCTCGCCGCCTGTCCCTCCCCAGGTGTCTCCTCCTCTGCCGCCGTCGCCACCGCTGTCGCAGCTGCCGTCACCACCGCCGCCGCCGCCACCGCAGACGTCGCCGCAGCCGTCGGAGCAGCAGTTCGTTGGCTCTGGGGGTGCTGGCGTTGGGGTGGGTACTAGTCCTGGGGTTCCTGTCGTAGCTTGTCCCGGCGAGCCTGGGGGTGGTACCGGTGCTCGAGGGGTTTCGTGCTCTGTGGGTGTTCCTTCTGGGGGTGCAGGAGTAGAGTGTCCGGAGGTAGCCATGGAGCAGCTTGCGGCCCCGGTGTCGGTGTTGTGCCACCGCAGCCGCAGTCACCGCCGGTGTCAGCCCTTCGCCTGCTCAGCCTTCCGTCCCCTGACCCTGCGTATGTTCCTCTCCTCCCGTCCCCTCCTCTTCCTGTCTACGGCCCTGTGTTCCCTCCCCCGGACTCGTCCCCGGCTCGTCTTCCCCCTCGTTCCCCTCTTGTGTCTCCTCCTCTGTCTCCTGACCCGACGCCTCCGTCTCACGTCTGGTCTCGCCGTCCCTCCCGTGCTCGCCCTGTCTCTCCTGTCCCGCGCTCTCACCCTGTATTGCTTCTCCCCGCGTTCCCACGCGTCTCGTCCTCCCCTCCTGTCGTCGCCTCCTCCGTCCTACCTTGTCGTTGCGCCTCCCCCTCTGTCTGACTACCTTCGTGCCGCTTGTCCTCTTGTTCCTCGGGTCCTTGCCTCTCTCGTTACCGACCCGTCTGTTCCGGTTTCGCGTCTTGGCGCTTTTTCCGCTGCGGTCGCTGACTTCGCCTCTACCCACCGCCTTGACTACGCCATCGCTCTGGTCTCCGACCCTGTCTGTCCTCCATGTGTCGGGCGTGCTCCTGCCCTTGGCAGTGACGTCCTGGAGGACCGCCAGTACGAGCTTCCTTTCCTGTTCGAGGCTGCTCCCCATCTTTGTTCCATTCTGCTAGTCCTTGAGGGTGACCCAGACGCCTTTGACATCCCGACCCCTCGCACTTACGCTGAGGCGGTCTCGGGACCTTGGGTCTCTCAGTGGATAGGTGCCATGGAGTAGGAGATGGCATCTTGGAGATCCACCGGCACCTACGTCGACGCAGTTCCCTCACCTGGGGTGAACGTATACGATGGCCGCTGGCTCTTCAAGGTGAAGCGCCCTCCTGGAGAGCCGCCTGTGTTCAAGGCGCGCTACGTGGCTAGAGGCTTCAGTCAGCGTGAGGGGGTTGACTTCTTTCAGACCTTCGCTCTGACCCCGAAGATGACTATTCTTCAGGTGCTGCTACACGTAGCAGCTCAGCGTGACTACGAGCTTCACTCCCTCGATTTCTCCACTGCGTTTCTTCAGGGCAGTCTACACGAGCAGGCCTACCTGCGCCGCCCTCAGGGTTTCACTGGTACCTTTCCTCCTGGGAACCAGTGGCTCCTGCGGCGCCCCGTCTACGGCCTGCGGCAGGCTCCCCGTGAGTGGCACGACACGCTGCGTGCTACTCTTGCTGACCTGCAGTTCTTTCTGATCTCTGCAGACCCCTCGCTCTTCGTTCGTGCTGGCCAGACTCCGTTCTACATCCTTGTTTACGTAGACGACCTGGTCTTCGTCACTGCAGACAGGGACGCATTGGCTTCGGTGAAGGCAGAGCTGCTGAAGAGACACACTTGCACTGACCTTGGAGAACTGCGTCACTACCTTGGCTTGCAGATCTTCAGGGACAGAGTAGAGCGCACCATCACCCTCACTTAGTCACACTTGGTGCGCCAGGTCCTTCAGAGGTTCGGCCTTCTGTTCTCATCTGCACAACCCATCCATCTGCCTGTAGATCACGTGCTCTCTCCTCCAGTTCCTGTGGAGTCAATAGAGCCCAGTGGTCCTTACGCAGAGCTAGTGGGTTGCCTCATGTACCTGATGACTTGCACTCGCCCAGATTTCGCATACCCTCACAGCATCTTGGCACGCTTCGTGGCCACAGGCAAACACGGACCTCAGCACTGGTCTGCCGCTAAGAGGGTTTTGCATTTCAATTTGTCCTTATAATCATTTAACTTTCACTATCACATACACATTGGGCTTTTCACTTTACTAAACATAATCCTATGCTAGCGTGTAACTCGCCTAATCTAACAGCAGACCTGTGACATCAATTCCCCCAACGGCCGTTGGGGGAGAACCAGCTTGAAGTGCTCAGCGCCAGCAGTGGCCATTCAACCTAGGAAGTGGCTCTCTCGGCAGCTCTTGTACTGTGCTAGAGCTTGCTGAGGATTCTACACGTACCTAGCAACTCATCTAACCTATGGCCACGTCCCCAGAACTCAAATTTGTACAGAGACTGAAAGTTAAGGGACGTGGGAGTGGTTGTCACCAAGCTTGGACGTATGACCCCGTGTAGTCTGGTCGCTGACCCTCTGACGAATAAAATAATTGGCCCGGTCCGCGTTTGACGACTCTCAATCGTGCTTGGCGGTGGACGGTCGCCGCGGCGAGGCCTGACGCCGAGGGGAAGCACCCATGAGGTCCCAGATGTCGTCGAAATCATCTCTTCTCCGGCCGGGTCTTTGGGGAGTTTTGGAAGCGGGAGAAGACGTGGCGACTGATTCCGCCATGGCTGCCTTGGCCTGCCGTCTCTCTTGATGCTTGAGAGCGGACTGCAGAAAACAGAACAAAATGAGCACAGATTAGTCTTTGCTCGGCATGCCCTGTTTCGCATCACTTCAGCTGATAACACATTGAGCAGAACTGTTGACAAGTGGAAGTTTGCGCTTACCTTATAAGCGGTGTGGATTTCCAAAAACATAGACGTCGTGTCCTGAGCACCACTTGCGTCGGGATGATACTGCAAAACATAAGAATTACGAGGCGAATGTCAGCCTATGCGAGCACGAAAACAATTATCGGGACGCTTCGCCAGTCGGTGATAGTAACGGAGCACTGACAGCGAGTCAGCGTGCTTACAATGCGAGCGAGTCGTCGGTAAGCTTGTCTGATTTCGTCAGCTCCGGCGCTAGACGGGACTCCCAGCACGGTGAAGCAGTTCGGCGTGGCTCGTCGTCGCTCTGGAGCCACTGCTATCCGAGCCTCTACGAAAAGCCGCCGAGCCGTTGGAGGTGATTTCAAGGGACTCTCTCGTGGTAGCCTGGAATTTGTGATTTCAAGGGAGTCTTTCAGGGGGCTCTCTCGAGTTAGCCTGGATCGCGATGGCAGTTTTGAAGGCGAGGACAGGAGCGGCGAGGCGGAGAGAGCCATTCTTCCTGGAGCTAAGGCAGCGGATGCCTGCTAAACTGTTAGCTCGTTATCTGTGGTAATTAGACGGAACTAGTGATGGAACACGTGGTGTCGTCGAGTGACAAGCGAAGGACTGGTATCAGCCTGTCAGAGTAAATTAAGAGTGAAATGCGAGTTGAAGTGGACTCTAGTCAGCGGCCACAGTTATTTTCCGAATTTTGAGAGTTGTGACGGAATGATCATGATTCTGTTACTACGGCTGATCACTTCTATTTCAAGCAACTGGCGCCGCCTCTCGCCTTTCCTTCTCTCGACGGCTCACTCACTCTCTCTCCTCCGTCTCTCCCCTTCCCTCTCTTCCACATTTCTGCAATCGGTCTCGCGTTTCCCCCCAGGCACCTCCCCTTCTCCTCACCCCACCACCACATACACATGGCACATCGCCTCACCTCACCACCACACGGCCATTCACCAGCCGGTTCAGTACGGTGCAATGGGGTGTAGAGAGTCCCCGGCCTGCCCCGTGCCGTGTGTCGCACATCCATGCCCTTTCGCGAAAGCCACATCCAGCGAGTCAGCCCAGATTATTTTCGCCGTCCTGCTTACCCACGCAGTCGACTGGGGAGCCGAGCCGCCTCCAGTCACGGAACAATCCACAATTCTAGCTGCCAGCACATTGGATTGGATGGGTCTGACCTGGGAATTGTTTCCCCCAGATTGCGGCAAGAATGACGCTGGTCGTTGGGTTTCGTAAGTCACGGGCTGAACTTTGAAAGGCGACAGCTCTAGGCAAAGACGTGCCCGAACGTGGACGGGCAGGTTTGCAGGGTGGCTTGGGGAAAACACGCGCGGGGTGGTTTACCGCTCGCTAGCTGGTCAAAACGAAACCAAGGGCAACTCGAGGAATTTCGGGTTCAGAGCATCACTTCCAATCGCGCCACGATGTTCGACAGTATCGCTATTACCAGCCAAGTGTACAGAAGCGAACACTATTGTGTACAAAAGATTTGAATAAATTACAGGTCATACACTCCTTTCCTACAATTCCATTGGTTGCACTAGTCATAGGCTTAAAGATCTGCATTGTAACAGCGTCCATCCCGATATTCTGAGGGCAAAATTTTATTCCAAGGGAACATGGTGCCGTGCCGTACCTTGTTGGAATTACAAGGGCCCTCCTAGCACTCCAACAAGCTATTAGTGTGTACAAGACCAAACGCTATAAGACTTTCTGTGTCTTTCAGGTTTCACTTCCATTTTTCACGCTATAAGGTCCTATTGGATCGTTGACATCACTTCACATTTTTGGGCCCTCGGCAGGGTGGGGGAAAGGACTAGCAAAGCATGTCATCAGGGTATCTAGCACTTCAGTTTCTCAAATTCTACCATGGTCGGGGGCAGATGTGCTGCCACCCAAGGCTGTGACACGGGCATCGAACTGGAACATTGAGCTGTTACAAGTATCCTGACAGTAGATTGAATGCAAAGACACTAAAGATATACAATACACAACAGACCTCATAGGTCATCAAGCAGGACCAAGGGATGCGTGCACAGGAAGGATTTGGCACGATTGGTGCTGACGAGGACCTACAGCATGTGCAGGGAAGCGCAAGCGCACCTAGACGACCATAGTACAGTCCTGTGACTGATGTCAACACGAGTATACGTTGCCTGAACTGCGCCACCTTAGGTGACCAGTTCCACCTGTACAATTCCTCAACGCTGGGAGGGTAACCGACACTCAGTGCTTTTTCGTAGCTTTTCTTTGTGTGGTGGACCCCAGAATGTCGTCCCAAATATCATCCCAGTCTTCTCTTCTACGTGGCTTTCCAGCGGTTTTGAGAGGTCGGGAACCCTTTGGTGGTGAATGAGGTTCTAGAAGAGCCTTGGCCTGTGCTCTCTCTTGGCGCCTCAAAGCAATCTGCAGTGACATGAACGCTAGTTCAGGAACTTTGCAACAGCTAAACCGAAGAGCAAGGAGACAGAGAAGACGAGTCGAGCAGGTAGACAGAACCCTAGATGTCGAGATGTCAACAGGACTGACCTTATATGCTTCGTGAACTTCGAGGAACTTCGGTACTGTGTCCTCTGCTGAATTAGCGTCGGGATGATACTGCACAAGGCGCGAGCGAGAGGAGTCAGCGTTTGGGCTGCAATGCGGTATGAATTCGCGAAATACGCGAGAACGAGACGTACAATGCGTGCGAGTCGTCTGTAAGCTTGTCGAATTTCATCTGCTCCTGCTTGTGCAGTCAGGCCCAAGACAGCATAACAGTCGGAAGCTCTTTTCCGTCTCTCTGGTTGTACTGCCAGGGAAGCCATGACTAGAGGTGCTCGTCTCCGAAGTACGATACCGGACGCTCTCTGCCTTGACACCGAACGCTGGAGCTTCTCGCCGTGCGTCGTCAATCTCAGTGGACTATGCCTAGCTAGAGAAGAATATTCGAGCAACATGGCGCAACGCGGATAGTGGGGAAAACGAGCTAACGAGAGGCAATTCCCTTATGTATCAACGACGTGTTTGAAGCCGGTATTTGGAAATATCGCTTAACTGTAGAAACGTAGTGTCCCAGGGCACAGATGCACGAGAAGTGAGATTCAACCCAATGGATCAGGCACCGAATTCTAGCAAGGGGTGAGTGCTTTTTCACCTCAGCGGATAAGATACTTGTTCACAGAGAGTCTGTGTGGAGAAGGGCTACAGAATTTGGTCTGAAGGAATTCTGTTCAAGTGGTGCCACTTCGTTCATGAATTTGCTGCTCCTGCGGCTGCTGCTGTTCCAAGCTGTTGAAAACCAGAGCACAAATCCATTCCCCAATCCGAAGTATGCGACTGTATGCGAGGAAAACAGACCCATTCAGCTCTGCGACTGTACGACAAATCACGCAGCTGCATTCGCCTGCGGTGCCGACATCTATCGCCAGTCGCCAGCTGAATGTTCCACTGTCGCCAGGCCTCGCCAGGTCGACACCGGCACTTCACGGAAATTGCGGCAGGAATGACGCAATCTCGGTACCTTTCCAACTTCCCCGAATGACGTGTTCAATCACCTCCCGACGCGACGCGGATCCCCCACGTGGGGCTGTGCTGCATTTGTGTCGATTGTGCTGACCACTTTTTCGCCGTGTGAATTTGTGGCGCGTGCTTGATGCGTGCTGCCGATGTCGGTTCAGCACTCAATGTACCATGGGAAAGAACGTGTTGGCAATCACCCCGGCAATTCCGGCGTGAGTTCTGGTCGAGATTCCTACACAACCTCGTTATCAGACGTACAAAGAGTCCAGCAAATAATGATATTCATAGAGCTTACCAAATTATATGTACAATAGTCATAACTAGAATACCCAAATTGCTCTCCCCTAATTCGCATCAACTCATACTGCACCCAATGGTGGTGCTGCCTTCTGTGCTCGTTCAACTTCCTTTTTAAGGTATTCCATGGCATCCCGAAGAATCTTTGCCTCTTCTTGGTCCTCCGTCCTCGACACAGACTGCCACTTGCGTGCTTTGTCCCCAAGCAACGGTATCTGCTGAAATTGCGTTGCTGAATTGGCTTGTCCTGTTGCCAATGTTGTCACCTGGGCTGGTTCTTTCACGTTAACGCAATCTGCAGTGCCAGAGTCTCCTACAGAAAGTCTTTTCTCACTCCCACACGTCAGCAGCTGATTCCCTCCACTAATTCTGTCCCAAAACCTCAAATCGCCCGCACCAGAGGTTGCCTCGCCTTCTTGCCTCACCATCTCTCCCTCCCTTCTAACGCCTTTTGATCCCGACTGCTCTCCAAGTAGCAATGCACGGTCCGTGCTACGGCCACGCTCTTCCATCGCTTGCTCATGAGCTTCCTCACTACAGGTACGTCCATCTGTTACAGCCCCACAATCAGTCGGCTGCCCCACCCCTCTCAGCCGCTCTGACCCCTCCACCCTTCGCTGCTCCCCCTCTTCTTCCCTCGACTGCAAATCCCTCCCAGCTTTCCCCTCTATTCCTCCACGCCCCTCACGCACCTCCTTCTCCTCCACTACTCTGTGCGCCTGCCCCTTACCAACCAGCTCTTTCTGAAGCTCCTCTAACCTCCTCTTCAGCTCCAGAGCGAACTCTGCCGCATTCAACCCCACCTCTCCTACGCCGTACCCCTCCAGTCCCCCCACACAACCCCCCACACCCCCACACACCTCCCCCCCGCACCCCATCCCCGTGACGCCTCCCCCTTTCCCCAGTTCTACCCTCGTCTCGCACCAGCACTCACCAAAGAAATCCCCCACATTACCCGCTTCCCCCGCCCCCATTCCCGCCGCCGCTAGCCCTAGCTCCCCCGTTCCCCCCCCGAGGGTAATGAGTGAGGCGCGTGCATCAGCCGCGGCTGCCTCCACCCGCCACAGCCGCGCCTCCGCCGCTGCAACAGCCGCTTCCACCTGCTGTACCTCGCGCAGCCCCCCTTCCCCGGAGCCGCCGCCCCCTTTTCCCCCATCCGCGCACTTGCGCGCACGGTGCACGCGCTGGCGCAGCCCCGCCAGTTCCGCCAGCACGACGGCTACGCCCGCCTCCTGCTTCTCCACGGCGCTGCGGATCCACTGTAGCTCCGCGGAAACCACCTGCGCCTGTAGCTCCGCCATGTCTACCTGCGCCTCCGCCAACCGCGCACGCTGCATCACCTCCTCCGCTCTTCCGCCCATCTCCTCCGCCCTTACCGCGCGGGCTTGCGCCTCTGCCTTGTCAGCGCCCCCTTCCTGTCCGCGCCCTTCCCCAGCGCCACTATCTAAAGTCCCCCTGTCGGTGCATCCCTGACTCGCTTCCTGCGCCCTGCATTCTTCCAATCTTCTCCCTAAGTTCGCTCTGGCGCTCTCCGCTCCAACGATCTCCGCCTGGTCTTTCGTAATGCCCGACGGGTTGTGGCGCGGCGATACGCTCCTGCTGCTACTACTGCTGCCGCTATCCCTGCCGCTGCTCCTGCTGCTACCTCGGCGGTTCTTTTCTCTCATGCTGCCGTCTTTGCCGTTTCTCCCTTCGCCAGGTTGCTCCCTGTCGAGCGAATGCTGTCTCCAGCTCGTGCTGGCCACGTGCCGCCGCTGGCTGTTGACCGGCGTCCTCCCACCGCCTTGCCGGCCGCCGTGCCGGCCGCCGCCCCCTAGTCCTCCCACTCCGCCCACTCCTCCGCCGCCGACGCTGCCGCTGCGAGCGCGTCGGCGCCTCGCCATGAGTTCGAGAACCCGCGCGAAGGGAAGGGGGCTTCCCGCCGTGCCGTAGCACGTGGGCGTGCCGCCGCGCGCTGGGGGGACGGCGGAACTCCCGCCAGGCGAGGTGGCGCCGTGCGGAGTGAGGCGCGCGGAGAAGTGGGCGGGGCGCCAGGGGAAGCACTGGGAGGCGGGCGGAAGCGGCTTGCCGTGTCGAAGGAGAAGGGTGTCGGATGGCGATGGCGGGGAATCCATGAGGGCGAGCTCGACTGTTTCGCTTCCTGCTCGTTCCTGCTCGTTCCTATTCTTGCTTGCTCCTCTCCTGAGGCTGACTGCTTGCCGATACTATCAGTGGTGAGAGGCTGCAGTGATTCTCTTTCTAGTGATTACGTATGCCTAGACGATGATAGACGTTAAAAAAAAAAAATGGAAGGAAAAAAACCATGTAAAATCCCTGTCTGCTCAGAATCTGGCGAAGATAGAAAGGGCTATGTTTATTCCAAGTAATCGCTGTATGTAGTCGCTGTCCGTAACTGCTGTATCCTTTCCGACTAAGATCTCCGACTACTGTAACCGAAAAGTCGTACCGGACTTACTCGTCTTCCACTACTCGCAACATCGCTAACTAACAACACATTACTAGCTCCAATGAGCGACAGCTACCGTAATCCCCTCGCTTGACGCCATACCTATCTTCTGTGGTCTCCGCTCCGTCATACTGTCCTCTGGCCTTGGACTGCAGGTAAGTCCAAGGGTAGGCCACTAATAATCTCTCCCCTTCCCATCCCACTGTCTTAAGTTCTCAACCCTAGAGATGTCCGAGCTAAGGGGTACAACGTTACAAACCCAGGCGCGTCCGCTTCCATCGGCCAAAGTTTCGCGATGTCGCAAAGCCCGTGGATGAGGTACATGTTGGAGTTGCCTGCCACAAGATTGATGGCGGCGAAATCAGCAACGACTTTCGCGAAAGAGGCGTCAGTGAGGCGAGCCTCCAGCCCTTCGTTCATCCGTGGGTGCACTGAACACTGCGCAACCGCCGAAGTGCGCCACAAATGGCACGTCGCATTTCTCGTTGCACTAGTTGACGCAGAACTGTCGCATTATGGAATGCGCCAATCAGATGCACGAGGAGCAGGGGGTTGCGTTGCGCCAGACCGAGGTGCCCTGGGATGGCGAGGCGAGGTTGTTGGAACAAGCCAGCGACGTGTGGTCCAGGGCACCTGCATGGGGGCTGACGAAAGGATCTGATTGGTCAATAATTCCAACTGATCTAGCCACCTTGGGAGGATATGTGAGACCAGTTTTTCCCCATGAAGGCCAAGCCATTGCTGGCCTCTAACTTTGTACAAGCTTTTTTTCTAGCAAGTGTTCCAACATGCACTATGGCTGATCCAAGTGTTCTTTGATGCGTTCGACCAATTCTGCCTTCCTACCAGTGAGAGGTAGGCTATGCAATCGAAGATAATCCCTCAGCTGCTCGTTTGTCAAAGTATCCAACTGCGAACAACAAAAGAGCGAAGGATAGTGATGCCAGAATCATGCAACTCCCCTATCTCCACAGCCCAAAAAATCTTATACACCCCTTGACTGCCTATCTCACCTTCCCTTTTTCAGCAAGCCCTCGCCAGTCTGTGACACCAGCCTTGGCCGTGGCAGCATCAAGAGCAGCCTTGCGCTTCCTCCCAGCAGCCTCCGCCTTGGCCTGTGCTGCAGCAGCCTTCGCCGCCTCCTCCTCGTCGTGCCCTGCGCCATACACCGCGTCCTTGAAGTGCCTCACTGCTGCACTCGCACGGGCAGCTTTCCTGCAAGAAGTGATGTGGGGGAGGAATACAGACAGCTCAGGGACTTGGCCTGTACTGCAGCAGCCTTTGCTTCCCCATCCCCATCGTGCCTTGCACCGTACACTGCATCCTTCAAGTGCCTCAAAGCCACACTCGCACACGCAGCTTTCCTGCACAGGAGGGACGAGAACGAAACAATCAAATCAGGGGACCAACAAACGTGCATCATTCCCACTCACTGGTCCCTTCACCGCCCAGTACTTGCTTGGATCATCAACCGCACGATCGCCCAGAAAAAGAGCACAGTTAGGAGAACAAGCTTGCACACAGCGACGTACCCTTTCTTCTTGCCCTGGCTGCTGTCTGCTGAAGGCGGTTCGAAGATGCTGTGGTCCGGCAGGGTGGTGTCCACCACCGGCTCCACCTCGGGCAGGTCAAGGGCTATCGCCTCCAGCATGCTGTAGTGCGTCTGGATGACTGGGACAGGTGGGGGAGTGCAGTGGGAAAGTGCAGTGGGGGAGTGCAGTGGGAAGGTGCAGTGGGGGAGGTGGTTCAATGATGCTGTGGTCTGGCCACCGCCGGCTCCACCTTGGGCACGTCAAGAGCTATGGCCTGCAGCATGCTGCAGTGCGTGTGGATGACTTCCGGAGAGCAGAGAGTGGAAACACACGGAATATTCAGGTTAAGGGGGAAGAATCCAGAGGAAATGTAGGTGGTTTCCACCACCGGCTCCACCTCGGGCAGGTCAAGGGCGATGGCCTGCAGAATGCTGCAGTGCGTCTGGATGACTGCCCGGGGGCAGAGTGGAAAGCAAAGGAGGGTTCAGGGAAGAGATGGGTGGTGTCCACCACAAGCCCCACCCACCGCAGGCAGGTCCAGCGGACCAGCACTGTGGGATCCACCATGCTGTCGTGTACTTTTTTGAGGCCCCTTTGTTTTTTGTTCTTTGTTTTTTTTTTGGGAGGGGGGGGGGGGGGCACGCCCCATACTCACTCAGGCAGGTGTAGCGCTATGGAATCCAGCATGCTGAAGTGCGTCTGGATGACTGGAAGAGGGTAGAAGCGGAAGGGGAAGGCAAGGGGAATCCAATCCAGGGAGGAAAGGAGAATCCGTCCAGATACACCGAATCACCAACAAGAATGCCCGGGTTGAGAATGTTCAGAGGGCTGAAATCCCTGAGTGCAACTGGGGGAGGCTAGTGCCAATTCCAGAAGCAGCGCGCACCTGGAGGGCTCAATTCCTTCAGGTGCATTCGGCACATGTGTAAGTTCCCTCAAAAAGGTCCCTCAAAAGTTCCCCCAAGAGTTACACACTCATGCATGCACGCACGTACGCATAACAATAAGACAACACGGGCTAAAAGTTAAGTGCACCCACCCGGGTTGAAGATATTCAGAGGGCTGAAGTCCTTGAGGTGCATGTAGCGCATGAGCGCCGTAGCAGTCGCCACCTGCCCCGCATCCGCCCTCGGTGCAGACACCACCTCCCCTCCGCTGCCCTCCTGCTCTGCTCCCCCCCCAGTCTCCTTTGCACCATAGCTGGCAGACCAGCGGGCATACTGTGTGGAGTACAAGCATAGCGAGGGGGGGGCGCGAAGAGAGGCATGATGAAGTGAATCCTGTGCCCAGGTCTATGGGAGAAGACGAGGTCGATGGGTGAAGACGAGGTTGCCAGGAGGGAGGAGGTGAGTTGGCTTCTGAAAATTCTCAGAAATAAACTCACCTCAGCATGACGAGATGGGGGGGAAGAGAGGCATGATGAAGTGAATCCTATGCAAGGGAGAAGGCGAGATCGTCAGGAAAGATGGGGTGTGCTGGCATAAAGAGATGAGGCATAGGAGGCACGATTGGGGGAACGAAGGGGAGGGCATAAGAGATTAAAAAAGAAAGGAATAACAAATGAAGGTCAGAACTCCCTACTTGAAGAATCTCACCCCGCTAGGCTCTTCCTAAAACTCCCCTTTCCACCTATACTGCTGTTTCCACCCGCTCTCCGTGTGCAAAGTTTTGCCCTTGCACCTACTCTGCCTTTCAATCTGCTCCGCTCTTCTCTCACCTGCTCTGCTGGCCCGGCGTCGTCGAAGAAGGGCAGAGGGATCATGTTCCATCCTGCTGGGTGCACCCGCTCTTCTTCAATGACGTCACCTGTTCCACCTTCCACGGTCCACCCTGCAAGAGCAGAGCCACCAGTCACCACCTCACCTGCTGTGCTGGTGAGAGACCCCCAAGAAACCCACCTGCTCTGCTGGCCTGACGTCATCAAAGAAAGGCAGGGGAATCATGTTCCACCCTGCTGGCTGCACCTGCCCGCCCGCCTCGTCCACCTGCTCTTGCTGCACACGCCACAACAGGTGATGGACAATAACAATCGCTTGATACATTTGGAGCAAAGGATGCATGCAAACAGGATGTATGTGGAGGTGGCGAGCATGAAGAAAGAACTACCGCAGGTGGTATCGGTGTGGGTCAGAACACGATTCATGCAGGCTCGCTCACCTGCGGGAGAATGGCCACCAGGCGAGGCATGCCAATCTTGGCCCAGCACGCCAGGGCAAAGCTGCGTGCGACATGTGTTCATGGGAGACGGACAAAGGGGGGGGGAGAGAGAAGGCAGCGAGGCAGTGAGCAGTGCAGGAGGGAAATGAATGAGCGTGGTGAATGGCAGCATGACATGGGCTTCACTGCAGGGAGGAGCTGGCAGGACAGGCAACGTTACTTGGAAGTGGACCCTCGTGAGATTGCTTGCTGCAGGGTCACTCACTGTTCCCATTTGTACACCCACGCACCGCTGCTCACCTCTTTGCATCCAGCATTGCGTTGTGCAGGGCAATGAAGGCAGCAGTGCTGCCAGAGAGGGTCTGGAGGGATACATACATACATACAGGGCACGGGGAAAAATGGAATGGGAGAGAGGGAAAGTGAGAGGCGATGGTGGGAAGGAATTAAGAGGGTTACAAAATTCAACAGCGCATCGGAACAGGGCATCTGGCACATGCACGTAACATCACATACAAAAAGAGTCTATAAATTCCAGAGCTCAGCTCCAAGCGTCTATAAATTCCAGAGCTCAGCTCTAAGAGTCTATAGTTTTCAGAGCTCAGCTGTAAGAGTCTATAAAATCCAGAGCTCAGCTCTAAGAGTCTATAAAATCCAGAGCTCAGCTCTAAGAGTCTATAAAATCCAGAGCTCAGCTTTAAGAGTCTAAAAAATCCAGAGCTCAGCTCTAAGAGTCTACAAAATCCAGAGCTCAGCTCTAAGAGTCTATAAAATCCAGAGCTCAGCTCTAAGAGTCTATAAATTCCAGAGCTCAGCTCTAAGAGTCTATAAAATCCAGAGCTCAGCTCTTAGAGTCTATAAATTCCAGAGCTCAGCTCTAAGAGTCTATAAATTCCAGAGCTCAGCTCAGCTCACCTCCTTTTGAGGCGGATAACAAATGAAGCTCACCTCCTCGTCTGGGAAGAGGAATGTGGGCGGCTAGAAAAATGAAGCCTTCTTTTTCTAGTTGTCACTCTTTTGCCAGCGCGACCTTCCTACGCTGCTGCTCCTCTTCCATGACAACGCACCTCCTCGTCTGGGAAGAGGAAGGTGGGCGGCTGCAGGTTGTGGTAGTCCCTGAGGCACTCGAGAGGCTTAAAGCCGAGCAGCAGCAGGTCGTGGGGGCACACGTCCTTCACCTCGTCCACCTCTGCCTTTGCCATCACGATGCGTGAGCTGCGGAGGAAGAGGCGGGAGAACAAGGGAAGGCGGGAGTAACACTGAGGGTGCTCCACAGCATTCAACTCCAGCAGCAGCAGCAGCATGTTGTGCGGACACACGCCCTTCACCTCGTCACCCTCTGCTTTTGCCATCATGACGCGCGAGCCGTGTAGGAAGAGGGCGAGGGACGAAGGAGGATGAAAGCCTCTGACAGCTCTGCACGAGACTAACGCCAGCAGCATACGCGGTGCGGACGCCATAAATGGTTCAGGATTAGGTGGGAGAGGCATACAGCTCCAGATTCCAATCCTGTCATCGGAAGCTACCCCACCCGAACTTACCCATCTGGCATGGGCTGGTAGCGGGGCAGCGGACCATGCAGCACTGCCCCAGTGTCTTGACAAACCAAGGCCGTTTCCACCTGCCGGGATGGGCGTGTGACATGCGAATGGAAGCAGACATGCCTGGTGAGCGACGAAACACACATGCATGCAGGAGAACAGCTCCCCTGTCTTGACACACCAAGGCCGTTTCCACCTGCCGGGATGGGCGTGTAACGAAGAAACGCACACAGGGACACATGGTGCACGCAGGGACACATGGTGCACGCAGGGACACATGGTGCACGCAGGGACACATGGTGCACGCAGGGACACATGGTGCACGAAGCAACACACATGCATGCAGCACTGCCCCTGTGTCCTGACACACCAAGGCCGTTTCCACCTACGACAAGCATGGATGAACGCAGTTGCACGCATGAACGGCATTTTTGAGAATTCTCAAAAGTACCCTGCACATCCGTGCATGCAGCAAGTTACGGACATACAATACTCATGCGTGACTTGCTCTCCACCCACCCACCCACCCACCCACCCACCCACCCACCATAATCCAGGCGCACCCACTCTCCACAAAACCCCCACATGACTTCCTTCTTCTCTCCCCGGTTCCTTCCTCTCCGTGCTCCTCTCCCTGCTCCTCTCCCTGCTCCTCTCCCTGCTCCTTTGATCATCTCACCTTGACTGTTCGATTGTCCACTGCCCTCACATACACTTGCTTCTCTGGACAGAAATAGTATAAGGGGCGAAAAAAAAAAATATGTATATATATAAATACGTAAAAAAAAACGGAATTCCAAGTTGGAAAGAAGGCCCAAACCTTCCACGAATCTTCCAGAACCATGACTTGAGAAAATGAAGTGCCGAGCTGAGGGGCCTAGTGAGGAAGAGGGGCAATGCTCGGACCTTGGAAGGGGGGCAGAAGCGCATACGAGGAGAGGACGATGTGGAGGTGGGGCACCACGGCGAACATACTGAGAGAACTTATTGCTTGATGGGCAGAAACATACGGATCTTGGCGGGTCGAACGAGCGCGTAGGAGGAGAGGGCGATGTGGTGGTGGGGCACCACTGAGAACATGACTCGCTTCACCATGCGCTTGCGGTACACCTTCTTGCGCAGCCGATCCTCAAGGTCCTCCAGCCTGGTGGTGAGTGCAGGAGAAGTGAGTGAAGATGTAAGCACGAGGGAGGCAGAGTGAGAGCAGAAGCACTCGCGTCACCATGCGCTTGCCACACACCTTCTTGCGCAGCCGCTGCTCGAGACCCTCAAGTCTGGAGGTGGAAGGGGAGAAGGGAGAAGAGAGCGAGGGTCAGGAGAAAGCCGGAGGGAATGGAAGGGCAGTTCGTGCGAGCATGACTTGCTTCACCATGCGCTTGCGGTGCACCTTCTTCCGCAGGCGCTCCTGGAGCTCCTCTAGTCTGGTGGGGTAGAGGAATCAGTGAGAACGAAATGAGTAGCAGTACGGCGGGAGAGTAAAATGACACGAAAGTGCTTGCAGTGCACGTTCTTGCACAGGCACTGCTGGAGGTCAGCGGGTCAGTGGGTCAGCGGGTCAGTGGGTCAGCGGGTCAGCGGGTCAGCGGGTCAGTGGGTCAGCGGGTCAACGGGTTAGCGGGTCAGCGGGTCGCAGGTCAGCAGGCCAGCGGGTCAGCAGAAGGTCCCAAGAGCCCGATCCCAACAGCCCGATTAAAAGAGCCTGATCCCAACAGCCAGATCCCAACAGCCCGATCCCAACAGCCCGATCCCAACAGCCCGATCCCAACAGCCCGATCCCAACAGCCCGATCCCAACAGCCCGACCCCAAGAGCCTGGTCCCAACTGCAGGTTAGCGGGTTAGCGGGTCAGCGGGTCAGCGGGCTAGCGGGCAGCAGGTCAGCCGGTCAGCGGGTTAACGTGTCAGGGGGCCAGCAGGCCTCGCATGCAACCGCTGCTGGAAGTCCTCTACCTAGTCTAGAGGTGCCAATAAGGAGTGAAATCCAGCGCAAAAATCAGGGAAAGAATGGGTGAGAGCACATGCAAGATAGAAGCTGCCTGTGGAGTGTCTAGGGTGATGTGACTCGCCTGTGCTCCTCTGGCTGGAAGCTGATTCGCTGTGAGTCGTCAAAGCCTAGCATGTCCTGGCGCATGGGTGGGGGAGCGAGCGTGGTAGAGGGGGGATTGCGGGGAGAATGGGGGAGGGTGCGTAGCATATGGCTAGCATGTTCTGGCGCATGGGCGGCAATGGGAGGGGCTGGATGAAAATGGAATGAAGAGGAGCCAAGAAGAGTCGATGAAAGAGGCTGGAAACCCATTTGGCAAGCAAGGGAGCAAACGGCAGTAGGGAAGACATCACAATCCGAGTAACAAACTCTATGCCGTTAGAGGCCACCCTTAGTGGCATACAGCATAGGAGGTAGATGCTGACGCTAACCCACAGCATAGAGGATGTTGGCGTTGAAATTCTCCCCTGGGCGGCTGAGAGGGAAGAGGCATCGTTGTGAGGCGCCTCAGAACCAGCCTTGGAACTCACAGCGTAGAAGATGTTAACATTGAACTTCTCCCCTGGGCGGCTGAGGGGGAAGAGGTCAAACACAATGCCCAGGTCCCGTGCATCCTGGGAGAAAGCAGCGGCACAAGGGAATGAGAATGGTGAGACAACGCAATAGAGACGTCTGGAGGCTCGGCCGAGAGGGAAGAGGTCAAACACGATGCCCAGGTCCCGTGCATCCTGGAAAAAGGCACCCGCGGAAGGGGGTAGTGGAAACGGGAGTTGGAAAATAGTAGGAGGTTGCAAGGGTGAGATTTCCAGCCCTGGCAATGCGATGACAACAAGCTATGAGAGCACGGGGAAGTCACCTTTGCCTTCTGAATGGTGGTGCAGCGCGGCACACGTCACTCCTCACTCCCCCACTCCCCTCCCCAGTCCGTACCCCTCTCACTGACCCCGATGAAAAATGGCAATGCATTATGACCAGAATCGACCGACACCTTTGCTTTTGGGATGGTGGTGCGGCGCATGTCCCTCCTCACTCCCCCACTCCCCTCCCCAGTACCCCTCACTTCACTCACTCCCAACGGAATATGGCAAGCGCAGAGACTAGAATAGACCGTCACCTTTGCTTTTTGGATGGTGGTGCGCCGCATGTCACTCCGCACTCCCTCGTTGGAGATTGCTCCGAAGGGGTCATCGTCATTGGTGAAGAGAAACACGTTCTTTAGTACCTCCTGCGAGGCAGAGCTGAGGTTAGGGTGAGGGTACGGGACGTGAAGCGGGAAAGGCAGAAGGGCACATAGAGAACATTCTTGAACAGGATGCACTATGAGGGGCCATCGTCATTGGTGACGTGAAACACGTTCTTCAGCACCTCCTGCGAGGCACAGCTGGGGGTTTGAGTTCATGAGAGGCAGGAAGATGGGCACATAAACACGTTCTCTACACCCTTGCAAGAAATGCACTCTGAGGGGTCATCGTCATTGGTGAAGAGAAACGTGCTTTTCAACACCTCTGAGGAAAAGGAGGGGGTAGGCACAAGGGCACACGCTACACGAATATTTTGAGTCGACTCAAACTACACGTATGCCATTCGAAATCGCCCCATAGCTCAAAAATAGGGGCAAGTGGAGGAAAGGGTGCATGAATCACACAAGCCAAAAGGAACGGCAGACTCAAGGAGCGGCAGACTCAAGGAGCGGCAGACTCAAGGAGCGGCAGACTCAAGGAGCGGCAGACTCAAGGAGCGGCAGACTCAAGGAGCGGCAGACTCAAGGAGCGGCAGACTCAAGGAGCGGCAGACTCAAGGAGCGGCAGACTCAAGGAGCGGCAGACTCAAGGAACGGCAGACTCAAGGAGCGGCAGACTCAAGGAGCAGCAGACTCAAGGAGCGGCAGACTCAAGGAGCGGCAGACTCAAGGAGCGGCAGACTCCAGGAGCGGCAGACTCAAGGAGCGGCAGACTCAAGGAGCGGCAGACTCAAGGAATGGCAGCACGGATGGGAGCAAGCTGTAGAGAGAGGTGAAGACAGGTCGGATTGAGGAAGCATGCTAAAGGAAGAAGAAGAAAGCCCTTACCCTGTGCGCAGAAGGCCTTGGATGACCCATCTGAAGTTGAAGGGGGAGGCCGGATGGGTGGAAGTAGAAGAGGTTGAAACGAGGGTCCATTGCTCATGTAGTGCAGCCATTGTCTGAACGACTTTGACACGTCAATGTAAGACCGAGAGGCTGCAGGCTATGCAGCCCCAGAGGTCATACAGGGCACCTGAGTATGATAGTAATTTCGTTTTGAGGCGTATCAAACTGCAGTCACAGAGATAATGCACGGCAACTGAGTACACGGATGAGCGGGACAGTGGGTGACCAGAGGACCTACAGAGCATTCGAGCTGAACTTAGCCGTATTCCCCACATGCGTGCACGCACAGGACAGAGAAACGACAAGGACAAAGAGAGAAATGCACAAGAGAGACATCTTGAGATACAGTAGTGTGCTGCTGAGGCATGCCAACTCGTTCAAGCTGCCACTGTGGCTTCTAACGCATATCACTCTGCTGCCCTTTCTTCACTCCCCCCCCCCCCTCTCCCCAAACCCCCATTCTTCCCTTCCCTCTCTAAGGTGTCCTGAAAGCGCACAACCAGACAGGACGGCGACTCTCCTGACAGTACAGTTCCCTTTTGAGTCGACGCAAAACCAGATGGTGACTCTCCTGACAGTGCGGTTTCTGACGGTTAACGAATCCACTGGCGGAATCACGTCACCCACATGGGGTTGTCGTGCGGCTTCACGTTCCCTCTCAGCCAGTCGCCCGAACCAATGTCACTCTCAAAGGTCTCTGGACGCAAGTAACCACGGCAAAAAGGACGGAAAGACAGGCTACATCGCCGTCACAAGTTTGTACGACTGAATAACACACGCCACGATGGTATGGGTTAATTGTCAATTGACGAACGTGAAATCTGAAAACAAGAAGCCTGCTCAGTGCACGATGCAGATTAAGAATAGAATTCAAGGCACAGACGAGTATATGGAAAATCAGGGCGAACCAAGAGGCTGGAAAGTGCATAGAATTTCATGCAAATTGGGGAAAAGGTGAGAATCACGTGACATGGTTGAACTGCTTAGAGGCTACCTGGAAGGTTGGAGAAGTCTCTGATGAGCTGGGCCGAGGTCTGCTGGTTGTCCTGAAACACGAACACGCCCTCTGCTGACTGCACATTGCGCTTCGCCCGCTGCCATTCGAAAAACAGAAGCTCGACTTGAGAAAACATCAGAACGAATTGCGAAACGAAGTAAGTTGGAAATGGGATACGCGAGCAAAGAGGCAGTCGAATGAACGCAACGGAATGGATGTGAAACATTAGCCAGGAATAGCAGTCCGCTCACAGTGTTGAAGAACGCGATTGACACGAGGTCGCTCTCCCGGGAGATGATTCTCGTCTTTAAATCCCCCACCAGCGCTCGCACCACCTCGTCGAAATACGTCCGCTCGCCAGCACCCTCTGTGTCCTGCTCTCCCCCTCCTCTTCCTGAGCTGGACGCACTGGTCTGAGTCCCCAGACTGGCTCCTGCTTCAGGCTCCTGCTGCAAGACATCGCACGCCATAAATGTGAAGCGTTAACACAACGATGAGCTGTACTATGAGGCTAAGCGTTTCACTAAGAAATACATACAAGCTGCTAGTTCATAGGGTGGCCGGACTGATATTTTTACAGTGTCAGCAGAGGTACCTGATCGTCTTGGTAAGGGAGGAACATGTCCGGTCCGGCGTCTATGAGGAAGACGACCAGCTCCTTGCCATCGGAATAGTCCTGACAGGCGAGAATAAATAAGGTAAGGCGGAAGCATGAATTGGTCCCATGTTGAAAATGTGGAGATACGCCGCCATCCGTGGGACCTGCCTTTCGCTAGAATGGGCAGCGACGTAACGAATAGTGTATGCAATAACGTAAGATGCTTCTTTCTCACAGCCGTCGTCGCCCCTAGAATAGTCATCAACGACACGACGCGGAGAACGCTGACTGTCAGCGTTTTTTACACCACTAAAAGATAAAAAAAATTCGAACATTTTAGGTGAAGAACCGCATACTTGAGGGATTTCTTCGTCATCGGCGTCCTTGTCGCCGAACAGAACGGCAGGATCGAGATCCCAATCAGCCATGGCGTCCGCAGAGCATCAAGCACTGAAGGCCGGAATTTCAGGGCTTCCGAAAGCATATTGCAGTGGCAGCGAGCTCAGATGTCGTCGAGCTGTCAGAATCGCATCGGCGCGTGTTTCTGACGCCTTGGGAGGATCTTCGTTAGGCACAAAATGATGCAATCAATATAACGGAGATGTACACGACGTTCCAAATGGCTATAAGAAACTCTAAAGAATCTCACATTTGTTAAGTACATTTTCAGCCCTTACAAGAGGTAATGTGCTACAAGAAACGCAGCATACAAAAAAAAAAAAAAAAAAAAAAAAACAATCAGAAGCTTCTATAAATGGTGAATCTTTTCCATATCAACCACCTCTGACAATGTGCCAGCATCTAAATGGTCCCACCAGGCAGGCAGGAACCGGTCCACTACAAGGCGGAACCACGGCGACAGGACCACTCCATCCTCCTTATTGTCCGCCTTGCGCACCAGCTCCTTCAACTCCTCCCGGTCCACGAATCTCACAGCAGCCACCTCGTTAGGGTTTGGGGTGGCCTTCAGGTCAGCCTTCAGCACCAGGAGGTAGTCAACTGGAGGAACAAGACGGGGGGGGGGGGACACATGGTAAGGTACCAGACAGCCGATGATGAAGTCCAGGAGATGTCAAAACGTGGCACAGAGAGGGGAAATGACAGGCCAACAGGTTGAACCATGCCCAGGCTACAGTAGAGGAATCCACGACAACAACGAGGGCGAGACAGGGATGGAGCTGCACTCAACGGCCAGAGCATGCACTCACTCTCATGCTCGCCCCATTTCCCATCGGAGGGGGCCTTGTAGTGCATGCGCCCAAGGCACGTGAACGCCTTCACATCCACGGTATCAGGGTCGATGCCCAGCTCGTCCTCCAGCTTGCGCCGCGCCGCCACCCGCACGCCCTGTACGTTCGCCTCCTCCATCTCGTCTGGGCGGTACAGCGGGTGGCTGCAGCACGTGTTGGTCCACACCAGGGGGAACGTCACCTTGCACGCTGCACGTTGCTGGGAGGGGGGTATAGGTGGGGACATTTGAGTTCTCAGTAACGTTAAACGGAGACAGAGTTTAGAGGCGCCTCAAAGCATGTGTTGGTCCACACCAGGGGGAACGTCGCACGCTGCGCGTGGCTGGGAGGGGGATATGGATGGGATTGAAAGGGAACCACTTGGTGGGATCAGTATCGAAATCCTGCGGGTCTGATGATTAAGTTTTGCAAACCTGTGATTGTTCACCTGCAAAGGCTTCATTTACTGCGCTGTTGGAGAATTTGTTCTTAATGCACCTATAGAAGGTCGTGATTCAGTACCTGGAGCAGCAGGCGGTGCTGCGAGTCGAAGAGGAACACGCTGAAGGCGCGGTGGCGCGCTGTGCCCTTATCGATGTTCTCCATAATGTGGCCTGCCAGGTCAGGGAATGCAATGTAAGCGTTTCCGCAACGAGAAGATGCGTTGACTGCGTTCAATGTGATCATTGCAAGGTCGTTCATGACACATGTCAGAGCCCAATCACGTACGTACACGTGTACTTATTGGCGTGGCCCACCACCTTGTCCTCCTCATCCACGAGAATGCACCTGCAACGATCGTTCCAGAAGCCACGTCATCAGCCAAATCCCACAGAACACTCTAAGAAAACTTCGGAAAATCGCGGTTCGAGCAGCGAAGGCCGTGTGGGTCGCGTGTGACGTCCTCGTCGTCGACCATGAGCCGTAACACCAGCTGTTTCGCTAAGACCAGCTACGAGCCACGTACTCGTCGTCGAACATGAGTCGCTGCTGCACCGCATCCATTTTATCCTCCAATGCACCTGCCGCTCCCTGCGTCGTTGCTGTGGTAGCCATGCCGCGGACAACAGCCTTTTCGTGGCTGAGCACCGAGAGGGATGATGACACAGGTGACGCCTTGCAAGTCCTAGAACTCGCGAGGCGTGCGAGGCTAGACGATAAGTTTAGAGGGGAGGCAGCGAGAGATAGCTGTGGATTCTGGAGTGTGATTCCGGGTTGAAACGGCGGATCAGTCGCTCTACGCGAAGGGAAGTCGTTGCGTGATGGGACAAGGGAAGCAGGGGATGAGGGACCGGGCACGGGATTATACGCCACGAGCGGAAGGGAGAGGTGGGCTGCTCCAAGCGGTGCTCGAGTGGAGAAAAAACGCGAAAATGCTGATGAGCGGAGAACGGAAATGGCTGCAGTAGGAGCTCTGACAGCCATGAAATACCAAGAGTGGGGAGGGACCGAGCTGCACGAAATGTGGTGACCAGGACTGAGGTCTTTGGGTGAGAAGAAAGGAACAGTCCGGAGGTGAGGGCTAGGCGGGCAGAGAGCAGAGAAGAGGTCTGGTCTGGGGAACAGAAAAGCAGAGACAGAGAGGCCTGGAGGTTGGAAACCCAAGGCTAGGGGGTTTGTGGCGGGACGAGGCACCGATTGGCGTGACCTGATTGGCTCTCCGACGCGGGGCACCCACCGAACCTAGGGAGTGTCATAAAGCAGGTACAGTAAAACTACACTACCTAAGTTGGAAAACTGATTTTCACACATTTCTCCTCGCTGAAATATATTTTCCTGCACCTATCGAGGTTCTCGTAGCAATACACTATCGCGGATACTTCATCGTAACCTAGCCTCCAAAGATCAGTCCACCCTATAGCGGATCGCCTTAGCCCTGCCTCTCTCTCACCTCGATCCGCGTCGCTGTTGGGGCCTTCCGCCTGCTTCTTCCGCCACCGTGCCTCCCGCTTCCGCCCTTCGCCTCCACTCTCCGCTCCGTCCTCCGCATCCCCCGTTCCGCGCGTGTCCGCATTTCGCCATGAGCCTCTCCGCAACAGCCGCCACCCTGCGGCGGGAGCTGCAGGCGCAGCGCGCGAGGCAGCTGTACCGCCGGTCGCTCAAGAACACGCTCAGCTGGGCGATCTTTCGCGACATCTACTACGACGAGGCGAGTCGTCGCACAGACGAAACATTTTCGCACAGATAGACTCCTATCCATTTCGCTTTTCTCCTTAACTTGTTCACGGCGGCTAACATCTTGCTATGTTGGATTTCTTATATCGCGTATCTCGTGCGCGCCGTGCGATCTGGCAGGCCGACAAGCTTCGCGCGCTGTTCGAGGCGAACCGACATGAGGTGAGGCGATCGAGGGAAGTCACAGATTTGCCTTAATGTAGGGGAGGCTAGCTTCGCCTGAATCCATCCGCGTCATGAACTCTTCTCGCTAAACGCTAGAAGTTGCCGGAGAAAAAAATGCTGCAACCTGCATTTCCAGCACCTTTCCTCCCTCTACTTGCTGCCGCCTCACCAACTCGCCCATTCCCCTTCTTACCTTCCCTTTCCCCTCTCCTCGCCACTCCTCCCTCCACCAGACGGACGCGGCGGATCGCGTCGATCAGCTGCTAACGGCCAGCGAGGCAAAGCTTAAAGCCCAACCAGCACCGTCTTATATCCCTTTCGCGTACCCTGCCCCGCCTTTGTCTCGACCCCCTGTCGCTTTCTCTCTCCCCTTCCCTTACCTCTCCTTTCCCCTCCCCCTTCTCCAGACAGACGCGGATCGCATCGATCGGCTGCTGGCAGCCGGCGAGGCAAAGCTGAAGGCCAACCAGCATCCCGACCCGTACCTAGGTGAGTCGTGGGACGGCTGGTTCCCCGACCCGTACCTAGGTGAGTGGTGATGAGAGCCCAGTGCAGCGGGGATCCGTGTGTCGCTGTGTGACTGCAAAACAAAAGTTCACACGCTCAAGGCCAACCAGCATCCCGACCCATACCTAGGTGAGTGGTGATGAGACGAGCGGCTCCCCTCACTCGCCTCCCTGTCGTTCTAAATAGCAGTGGGAATACGCCTCATCCGCCGATCTTCCCAACCTCCGCTCCTCCGTCTTCCCCCCTCCCTTTCTCCCCTCCTCACTCCCTCCCTCCCTCCCTCCCTCCCTCTCTCACTCACTCACTCACTCCCTCCCTCACTCCTTCACTCCCCTCTGTTGCTGCCTCCCTCTCTCCCTATCTGCCTCCGTCTCTCGCTCCTCGCAGTGCCGTGGGTCTAAGGCGGATACAAGTATGCACACAACTCTCTCCTCTTCCTGCTCACCCTCCTCCCTCCCTCCTGCCGACCCCCCATCCCTCCCGTTCTTCTCGTTTCCCATCCCCTCTGCACCGCAGTGCCGTGGGTCTACGGCGGATCTAAGTATGCTCGCAACCCTCCCTTTCCTCAAGAGGTAAGCAATCGCTACGAGGATAGAGGAGAGGGGGGGGGAATGGGGGGAGGGGGGGATAGAAGTCTAGTTTTGAGGAGCCTCACAGCTAGCAGTTGCTACAAGGGTAACGGCTGATCTATTTGTGCGGCAGCTTTCTTGGAATTGCTACCTGCTCTTCAAGTGCTCCTTTGATTGTTCAACTGATCGCCACTTTTGTATGTGTCCGTTTTTCTGTCTCTGTGTGTCTGTGTGAGTGAGTGTCGGAGTGTGTGCCGCTGTGTCTGCATGACCATGTCTATGTGTGCATGCATGCATGTGCCTTGCCCTCTGCATACGTCCCCGTGTGTGTGCTGCAGATTAGCATTGTGCATGGATTTGGCAAGGAGGAGCACTAGCACCATCATTTGATTCGAGCATGATAAATTGGAGCACATATCTGTCTCTCTAGGCATGCTTTTATGTCGTTGTTTGTCCGTAGTTCGAGTGGGCATTGTGGTGGTGTAATTGACGATTGGAGCTGAAATACAATCTGGGTTTCTTTGCTTTATGCCATTCATTCTTAGGGCCTAGTTGTGCTCTTTGCTCTCATCTACTGCTCTGCTGTGCTCATCTCATTCTCCCATCGCATTCTCCTACTCTTTTCATCTCCTCTTTGTCTCATGCCTCTTTAATCCCCCCACTACGACCCCTTCCCTCGTGCCTCTTTCCCATCTCTCTCCATCTCTCCTCCCCCTCCCCATCTCCACCCAACCGTCAATGCTGCCATATCACCACCCTCTAGCGCCAGCAGCATCATCAGCCACGCGCATATTCCCACCCTTTCCCCCTCCCCCTCACATGCACCTATACACAGCCGCTCATCCGCACTCACATCACACCTGATCACCAGCTCAGGTCTTTGCAGTACTTTTAGCTCTGCGGGTGGTATTGCCAGTAGCAGTGGCGGCAGCAGGAGAAGCATCAGCGGCAGCAGCAGCAGCAGCAGCACCAGCACCAGCAGCAGCATCAGCTTCAGCAGAAGCATCAGCAGCACCACCACCACCACCACCACCACCACCAGCCGCAGCAGCAGCAAGAAGAAATCAAAGCCCGACCCTCCTCGCGATCGGCCTTTCATCGATCGTATCCGCGTGCGCATCGAAGGCGGGCGCGGCGGCAGGGGGTGCTCCTCCTACCGCAAGAGCCGGCACGCGCGGCACGGGGACCGGGACGGGGGCAATGGGGGAGATGGGGGGAGCGTCACCCTCATAGCATCAGCCGCCGTGCGGCACTTGGGAGATATTGAGCGGGTGGTGAAGGGGGGGGCAGGGGGGCATGGTTCGAGTAAGAAACGGGCGGGGGCGGAGGGGAGGGGTAGGGAGGTGCGGGTGCCGGTGGGGACTGCAGTGTATTTGCTGGAAGGGGAGATTCCGGAACAACCACCTGTGCAGGATGATGGGGGTGAGGACGAGGATGAGGAAGATGAGGATGAGACAGATGGTTCAGGTGCGGCAGGTGGTGCTGGTGTTGCAGACGAGGCAAGTGATGCAGTTGATGCAGGTGCTGATGCTTGTTTACCCCCCTGGTGGGCGCCTCTGTTTGAGTCGTCAATGGAGCCGGGGGAGGACCAAGGGGAGCAGCAAGCAGTGAGTCAGGCACAGGGGCAGGCGCACTGGCAGCAGCTGCTGCAGCAGTGGACTGAGGAGAGATACGGGCAGAGACAGGCGGGGGCAGGGGAGGAACAGGAGCAACGTGAGGAAGGCGATGATAGTGATGACAGTGATGACCCTGATGCAGCAGAGTGGACTGAGTCACATGCAGAATCACCTACAACATCGCATGGGAAGCCACACACAGAGGCACATGGGAAGTGGGCACATGGGAGGGGAAAGGGAGTGCTGATAGCGGACCTGGTGGAGGAAGGGCAGCGGATCACTGTGGCTGCTGGGGGCAGGGGAGGGCGGGGCAACGCGTCCGTGGGGCGAGTCAAACTGTGGGAGAGCGAGGAGGGTGCTTTGAATACAGGCAAACGGGGGGGAAGCGGTCCCAGGGAACCGACAGCAGCAGCAGCAGAAGCTGACCCGTCTTACGAGAAGGGCACAGCAGGCAGCAAGGCAGCAGTATCCCTGGAGCTGAAGACTGTGGCAGATGTGGGCCTCGTGGGCCTGCCCAACGCAGGCAAGAGCAGCCTTCTGCGGGCGCTGTCCCGCGCCAAGCCTAGGGTGGGGTGGCACCCGTTCACCACGCTACACCCGCAGCTAGGGACTGTGGAAGGGGCAAAGGGCGGGGACTATGGGGACTGGGGGTGGGGCACAGGGGGCGAGTGGGACGAGGAAGAGGAGGACGAGGAGGACGAGGAGGAAGAGGCGGGCGGGGAGGAAGTGGGGGGGGAGGAGGGAGAGGAAAGCGAGGAGGGAGAGGAGGGGGCGGAGAGGGAGGCGGGAGAGGAGAGCGTTGGGAGTGGGGAGGGGGGGTTGATCGGGGAAGGGGGGTTTGGGGGCGGGAGTGGGATTATACTTTCACGGTGGCTGACATCCCCGGGCTGATAGGCGGTGCGCACAGGGACAGGGGCCTGGGGCTCTCGTTCCTGCGCCACGTGGAGCGCACCTGGGTGATCGTCTACGTGCTCGATATGAGCGGTGCAACTACTGTGTCAGGTGAACCCGCCTCATCTCAACCCGGCTCAACAGAGGCAGGCTCAACGGAGGCAGGCTCAACTGAGGCAGGCTCAGCAGCACGCGCAGGAGACGGAGCGCACATTTCCCCTTCCAGGGCGGTGTCAGCAGGCGCCCTGCCCCCCTGGGAGCAGCTGCAGGTGCTGGTGGGCGAGCTGGAGCGGTACCAGCCCGGGCTGTCCCTGCGCCCAGCTCTCATAGTGGCAAATAAGATGGACGAGGATGCAGCAGAGGGGAACTTAGTGGAGCTGAAGCGACGGCTAGCGGGGAGGGGGCTGCGGAAGGGAGGGTGTGAAGGGGGACACAGTGTCGGCAGTGCTGGTGCTGCTGGTGCCAGGAGTGGCGGTGAAGAGGTGGGCCTGTCGGTGCGTGTTGTGCCAGTGTGTGCGGTGCTGGAGGAGGGGGTGCCTGCGCTGAAGAGGGTGCTGCGGCGCATGGTGTGGGGGCGGATGGGGTGGTAGGGTAACAAGTGACAAGCACACTTCAAGTGGCAGTGCTGGGTTGGGGGGTGTACACTGACTGCTGGTGCCTGTTGCGCATGGTGTGGAGGTGCATGGTGTGGGGACGCATGGTGCCGCATGGTGTGGGGGGCACGCATGGTGTGGGGACGCATGGAGTGGGGATGCATGGAGTGGGGATCCGGGCTCAAATTTGAAGGGTGTTGCACCCTGATTACCCTTGCCAGCGGCCACTTTTTCAGGATTACCCTCAAGGCGTATTCCTGCGGTAGCATCAGAACCAGAATCGAATTCCGACTTGCACGGTACAGTGAGGTGCAAGAGCGAAATGAGCAGTCTAAGGGCGAAATCCTACATTGTTGATCCTGATCAATAATGGTTTTTTATCCTGGCGTTTTACAGCTTGCAAATCAACAATTCAAACTTACCGAGCACACAGTTTTGCACAGATTGATGTGCGACCACTTCGCCCGATGACGTGGCGCACAAAAACACCCCAGGCACTGTACTCGGCTGCTGCCCACCTCTGCTCGGGCAGGGTCAAGGGCGGGAACCCGCATCGCGGGGTAAAGTGCATTGTGGCGACGACCCAATCAGGAGCCGCGCATTTCTTTATTCTGCCCAGCACACTCCTTTTTGTTAAGTCACGCCTGGGTGTCGGCCCCAACTATCGACATCGCCTGCTGTCGCACGGGCGTCACGCGTCACTTCGGCTGTTTCCACTTGTGCTTAATTCGGGCAGGCTTTGTTAAATTATATATGTTAGTATATAATTGTAGGCTTGGTAGATGTTACTGAACATTACTGTAGAGGGTACAACACCCCTCCTTGTATCCCTCTCTCTTCTTTTCTAGTTCTTTTTCCTCTCGTATCTTCTCGCCTACCTCCTAGATCTAAACCTCACGCCATTTTCATGGCTCCTCCTACTCCTACCTAGTCTAGCATTCTAACATGCTTTTACATAGGACCAATCCCACGCCGGTGTGCGACGCTGACGTGGGCACTCTCGTTTCTGGACTCGGTGCAACACGACTGTTACGCGGATCAATAATAATTCTCGGGTTTTTGATCAGGATCAACGATGTAGGAATTCGACCTAATGAGGTTCGGTTCGGTTTTGCACGAATTTGATTCTGATTTCGTTTCTGATGCAAACTCACGAATACTATGCCCTTAGTCTCTCGCGGCGCATGCGAGTTTAAACTGAAGGTGTAGTGGCGTATTCGTGAGCGGAATGAGCAGTCTAAACTCACCAATATGCCCTTAGTATCCCGCCGCTCTGTTAGACTCTTTCTACTCCCCCCACGCATCTGTTAGAATACTGGAATGATTAGAAAGAAGAGAGAACAAGGGATACATAGGGTTTGGGTTGTACTCTCTAAGAACACACGCCTATTCTAGTCTAAAACTTCTACATGCAAATGTACCGTATTCCCCCGTATAAAGCACCCCGCAAAATTGAACGCCCATGGGTGGTTTGAGCGGACATCGGTGCTTAATTCAACTGGATATACATAACACCCGTCCTTTTTACCTGCAAATATTTGAACACCCCCCCGAAACCTTCAACCTCGCTTTTGAGTAGCATAGACGAGCGCTACCCTCTTTTCCAACCACTGCTGCTGTGCCATCACCTGAGCGTGAGAGCGAGTGGGAAACTTATCAAGGAACCTATACAGCGCGGTTCAAGGGGTGCGACACAGAAAAATTCGAGACCCATTCTGACTGCCCGAACTAGTGTGTCCCTTCCCTTGAATCCTCGAAACTCAATGTTCGCTAGTTGCCATGCCTCCTACGGATTGGCTGTTTGGCGTTTCCCCACTTCCGTACGCGATGTCGAGGGGGAAAACAGAATACTTTGTTTAGACAAAACAATATCACATACGCATGTTCCACAACACCCAGGCGTTATACAAAATTAGCCTCTAATTACACCCTCCTCAAACTTTAGAGGCATTTTGGTTACCACCCTAGGGTGCTTTATACGGGGGAAGACGGCATGTTTAAGTTGACACACCCCCTAAGCTAGATAAGGGGTTGTGCTGAGCAAGAAGCGCACAGCTCAGGATGGCACTACTAGTCCAACCTCTGAGACAGGGGTCTGAAGACCAGTCAGCAAGAGTACAAACAAGACACGAGCAAACCAGGGCAGCACTACTGTTCCGACCACTGGGAGAGAAGCCACAAGGCCAGTAGGAAAGATATATATAAAGAGGAGTACACAATCAAGGTCCTAGCAAGTGAGAGTCTATAGGAACTAGACCAAACTGCAAAGAGTGCCGCTGATGATCTCTAGGCGCAAGCGCCTTCGTAAAGATATCAGCTGTGTTGGCACATGAGACCAAGTGTACTACGCGGGCCTGGCGACGCTGCTGCAGCTCGCGCAGGAGGAAGTACCACAGCTGGATGTGCTTTGCTCTGCCCTCAAGTCGAGGCTCCTAACACAGGAGGATCATGCACTGCTGTTAGCGTACAGAACCGGGGCAGCGCTAGGCCGCTCACCTAAGTCGTTGAGCAAGAAGGTCAGCCAGCGAAGCTCCTGTGCCGCCATGGCACCGGCGTAGATCTCAGCCTTACAGCTAGACTGGGCAATAGACAAGGAGTGAGTGAACCTCCACGAGATGGCACCTGAACCAAGGCTAAAGTAGTAGCCTTGGGAGGACCTGAGCGTCTCAGCGTCATCTGCCCAAGAAGCGTCAGTGTGCCCCATAAGGACCACTGGCATGCGTCCTCCCAGCACTAGCCCCATGCCTGATGTACTTTCTAGATAACGCAAAACCCTCTTAGCAGTCGACCAGTGCTGAGGTCGGTGTCTGCTTGTAGCCACAAAGCGAGGCAGGATGCTGAGAGGGTATGCGAGATCTGGACGAGTGCAACTCATCAGGTACATGAGGCCACCCACCAGCTCTGCGTAAGGACCACTGCGCTCTACCGACTTCTCCGGAACTGGAGCTGAGAGCCTCTGATCTATTGGCAGAGGTGTGGGCTGCGCGGAGGAGAACTGAAGACTGAACCTCTGAAGGACATGGCGCACCAAGTGTGACTGTGTAAGAGTGATGGTGTGCGCTGCACTGTCCCTGGAGATCTGCATGCCAAGGTAGTGGCGCAGCTCTCCTAGGTTAGTGCAGGCGTGTCTCCTCAGCCGCTCGGCCTTCACGGAGGCCAGTGCGTCTTTGTTTGCAGTAGCGAAGACCATGTTGTCTATGTAGACAAGCATGTAGAACAGGGTGTGGCCAATACGAACAAAGTGCGAGGGGTCTGCAGAGGACGGAAAGAAATGCAGGTCAGCTAGTGTAGCACGCAGCATGTCGTGCTACTTATGGGGTGTCTGCCGCAGGCCGTAGACCGGACGCCGAAGGAGCCACTGGGTCCATGGAGGGAAGGTACTGGTGAAGCCTTGTGGTCGGCGTAGGTAGATTTGCTCGTGTAGACTGCCCTGGAGAAACGATGTGGAGAAGTCGAGGGAGTGTAACTCGTAGTCATACTGTGCTGCTACTTGTAGCAGAGCCCTAAGAGTAGTCCTCTTCGGGGTCGGGGTGAAGGTATGAAAGATGTCCACCCCCTCACGCTGACTGAAGCCTCTAGCCACGTAGCGCGCCTTGATCGCAGGCAGCTCTCCAGGGGGGCGCTTCACCTTGAAGAGCCACCGGCCATCAACTACATTCACCTCACGTGGGGGAACTGCGTCGACGTAGGTGCCGGTGGATCTCCAAGATGCCATCTCCTGCTCCATGGCAGTTATCCACTGAGAGGCCCAGGGACTCGAGGTCGCCTCAGCGTAAGTGCGAGGGGTCGGGATGTCAAAGGCGTCTGGGTCACCCTCAGGGACTAGCAGCATGGAACAGAGATAGGGAGCAGACTTAGACAGGAAAGCAAGCTCGTACTGTCTGTCCTCTAGGACGTCACTGCCAAGGGCAGACGCACCCCCGACGGATGGAGGACAGACAGGGTCAGAGACTAGAGCGGTGGTGTAGTGAAGGCGGTGGGTAGAGGCGAAGTCAGCGATGGCAGTGATAAGGGAGTCAAGACTCGAGACAGGGGACAGACGGGTCGGTAACGGGGGAGGAAAGGACCCGAGGAACAAGAGGACAAGCGGCACGAAAGTAGTCAGGCAGAGGGGGAGGCGCGACAGCGAGTGACAACGGAGGAGGCGAAGGCAGGAGGGGAGGACGAGACGCGTGGGAGCGAAGCAACATAGGGTGAGAATGCTGAACAAGAGAAGCAGGACGAGCACGAGAGGGACGACGAGACCAGACGTGAGAGGGAGGCATTGGGTTAGGGGACAGAGAAGGAGACACAAGAGGGGAACAAGGAGGAAGACGCACCGGAAACGAGTCCGGCGGAGGGAACACAGGGCCGTAGACAGGAGGAGGAGGAGGCGGCGGGGGGGGCCGCAGGCGAGGAGTTAGGGGAGGGAAGGCCGAGAAGGCGAAGGGCGGACACCGGCGGCAAGTGCTGCTGCTGCTGCTCCACGCCGACACCTGGACCGCCAGCTGCAACATGGCTACCTCCCGAACACTCCACTAATGCAACCCCAGAACGAGCACCCCAAGAGTGAGAACTCTCTCCAGCACCGGTGCCACCCCCGGTACCGCCGGGACAAGCGATGACAGGAACCCTAGGACTAGCACCCTCCTCAATCCAGCACCCCCAGAGACCATGAATGGCTGCTACTCCTGCGGCGGCGGCGGCGGCTGCGGCGACAGCTGCGGTTGCTGCGGCAGCGGTTGCGACGGCGGAAGAGGCGACAACGCGGGGGAGGCAAGCTGCGAGAACGGCGCCGCGGTGCCACCCGAGTCAGCCGACTCCTCGACCGGGACAACCGACGGAAGGGGAGTGACGTGAGACATGCCAGACGGAGCAGGACGGGAAGGGAGGGAAGTAGAGGCTACCGGGGGAGTGGGAGCCAGAAACAGGGGCGGTAGACCTCGTTGGGGAAAGCGACGGTAAAAGGAGATAGACTCGTCGAAAGTGGCATTACGGGAGTGATAGAAGCTGTGAGACGGCGGGTGGAAGAAGTGCCATTCAGACGAGTCAAGGGGGAAACCGAGGAAGACACAAGGGACAGTGCGGGCAGTGAGCTTGTTCGTGCCAGAGGCACGAACTTGAGCGAGGCAGCCCCAGACGTGGAATGCCGATGCGTAACCAGAGAACCCGATCCAAAGAAGGGTCAGCAAAACCTGCGGCCGTTGGGAGCGCGGCCACAGGTTAAGCTGGTGAGCGGCGTAGCGAACAGCAAACGGCCACAGAAAATGGGGTGCACCGGCATGAATCATGGAGGTACGAGCCACCTCCATGACCAAGCCGATGCGTTGCTCAGCGACCCCATTCTGCTGCGGGGAGTCCGGTAGGGTGTACAGCTGGGTGATGCCCTCTGCACGACAGAACCGA